CTGATGCAGGTGGGTAAGATGGTAGAAAAATCAGTTCTCATCTAATAGAAACCACACAATTCAAGTTATTTGCATGCCTATGACAGCGTCAGACTCCAAAAGGACTCCCATTAAGCAGTACCCATCTCCCCATCCAGTTATAAAGACTTTAAATGGTAAAGTTAAAATAGAAGGCATTACCAATAGCCCTTAGCTAGAAGTGAGAGGCCCAATTGGGCCTACTGACTACAGAATTAGGAGGATTTGCCCATCCAGTCCTGGTCAGCCTTGGGCGTAGCAAGGCCTGTGCCACAGAGGTCCCCTCCCAAACAAAAGGAAAGAACTGAGCTAAGTGAGCCAAATGTGTCTTTTCTGAGTTACCAAGTCCATTTAGCTGATGTTTACCTTAAATCACCTCAGGTCTTTTTTAATTATTTCAATTTATCTCAGAGAGGAAGGAAGAGGGAGAGATAGAAACATCAATGATGAGAATCATTGATCAGCTCCTCCTGCACAGGGGACTGAGCCCGAAACCTGGGCATGTGCCCTTGACCAAAATCGAACCCGGGACCCTTCAGTGCGCAGACTGATGCTCTGTACACTGAGTCAAACCAGCTAAGGTTCATCTCAGTTTTTAACTTCATGTGCTACCAGCCTTTCATTACTTCTTCATCTCTTCCTTCTTTAAATACCTCAGGTGCAGAAGCCATACTCTTTCCAAGGCAAGGTATCATCAATGTGAAGAGTTTATCTTATTTATTTGTATACTGCCTCTGTTTTCTTCCCCATAACTGAGGTAGTTTATATGTTTTTCTGAGTATGTATGCAACCTTATAAAAATTACTGTTGTTTGTGTATTTTCAATTTACATACACAAGGTCCTATTCTGTGTCTTACTTTTCTTACTACATGCAATGCTTTTAAGATCTGTCTGTGCTATTATATGTTGATCAATTCCTTGCTTCTAAATGTTGCATACTGCTCGCTCCAAGGTGTGCAGCCACCACTTTTTACTCATTCCAATTCCTGATTCCTGCACACCCTGATTCCTCTACATCCCCGTGCGTGTCCCAATCCGTCCTGGCCAGATCATAGAGCCGTGGGTACCTCATTTGATTGAACACTGCCAAAGCACTGTCCGAGTATCTGTTCTTGATTCTTTGCTCATTTTTTATTATATTGTTAGGTTTTTGTTGTTGTTGAGTTATATGAGTTCTTTATATACTTTGCATATTAGCCCCTTGTCAGAGGTATTGTTTGCAAGTATTGCCACAAACTCCTAATTGGCCTCCCTGGCACTCTTTCCAATCCATTCCCCACCCTGCAGTCAGTGTGGTCTTTCCCAAATGCAAATCTGAACAAGTCCCTCCACTTTCCCTGCTTCCCAGGACCTCAGATCCTGCCCCTGCCTCCCACCCCGCCCTCAGGCTCCCACTCCTGTCTGAAGCTCATGTTCCTGCTGATGAATTAGGCTCCATCCCTACCAGCGCCGTGATTTCTTCTCCTGAGCTTTCTCACAAGTTCTCTCCTCATCTGACAAATACTGTTTTCCTTGTGATTCCCAGCGTCACCCCTCCCACACCCCTTCAGGCTTAAGAAACCCAGCTCTCTACCCTTCCTCTGTGATTCTCTAACACTCCGAACTTCTATCAATAAAACTTATCAACAAACATTTCCCCCCCTCAAATTTCTATCATTAGATCACGAATGAAGGAGAGAGTGGTACCTGGATTTGATTTTCAATAAGATGTTTCTCCATCACATTGTTCCACATATAGAAAAATTTTAAAATATATTCATGAGCCAAATTTTTAAATATATTCATGAGCCCTAGCTGGTTTGGCTCAGTGAATAGAGGGCATCTGCCGGCCCGCAGACAGAGGAGTTGCATGTTTGATTCCAGTCAAGGGCACATACCTTGGTTGCAGGCTCCATCCCTGGCCCAGGTCAGGGCCTATTTGGGAGACAATCCATCGATGTTTCTGTCTCTCCCCGTCCCTTTCACATTCTCTAAACATCAGTGGGAAAATATCCTTGGGCGAGGATCAACCAGAAAACATAACATATACTCCTGAGTTGAACTGGAAAAGGAAGAGTATTCAGGAAGCAGACACCTATAAGGGGTTCAAATTTATATCTTATTTGGTCTTCTTCATAGAGTCACAATCAGTGTTAATAAACGCTAAAGATAACATTGATTAAGTTGTCAAATTAAAGCACAATCTAAAGCTTTCTAACTACTATAGAATAATACTAGGCTTAAAGTTTTGTTTTGTGTTTTAATTCTAACTTACCTAAACAATACAGAATATTTTTTTTATATATAAAACAAGGTAGCCTTGACCAGCTGTTTTCTATTTTTTTTAATGGATGAGCTAGCAAATATAAACATATTAATAAATTGCAATAAGATTTGCAAAATAAGGAAGACTGGAGGGTAAGTGAGGGGAGGAGCTAAAATATGAAACAGCCCAGGCGTGGCCCTTCCGGACAGATGTTCCATGTGATAAGCAGTTCTTGGATCTTAGTATGTGAGGTGTTGTGGATGAATCCTGACACTTCTAATTTTTCTTCATGAGAAATTATGTAATTTCTTAATGTTATGAGACCTCATAATGTGTTATAACAGAAAAAGTCAAAGTAACATCTCAAAAATAAAACAGGTACACATGCTCAACATAAAAATCTATGTGGTTGAAGTACAGTATATCAATTTCAATATTTATGTATTACCTACAAACATATGATAGCTCCCCTGTTATATTTTCACATTTTTCTTTTACTATGCTTTTAACTAGAGATATTCTTTTCTTTTTTCAAGGAACAAATGACAGAATAAAAGCTCTAGGATCCAGCTGGCCTTTTTGTGTTCTCATTGTTACCAGATTCCTCCCTGTGCTGGCTCAGGACTCTGGTACAGAATGGATGACTTCATTCGCATCCAGGCATTACTTGAGATGGAAAAGGTCAGCCCTCAGAGCCCACCTGCCTTGCCCTGGGAATTCCTTACTGGCAATCAATGCTCCCATTGTCTGTCTTCATGCACAGCTCCCCGAGCCACACCTGCCAGAGCCAGCACAGCTGCCCAAACTCACCTCCTTAGGAAGCATAAAGAGAGGGGAGAACCAGGGAGAGCTGAGTTAGGGAGTGCTTCAGTATATATTTTTATGTTTTGTTCACAAGAATATTCAATGTTTTCATGGGGGTGAATCTCCTTTCAATGTAAATATGGTAAACCTACCACTTATTGAATACCTCTCTAAAGAAAGTGGCCCATCCAGAAATCACACGTGGATAGCCTCATTTCTATTTCTATCCCTCGCTCCCTTCCTCTCTGAAATCAATAATATATATATATATATATATATATATATATATATATATATATATATTTTAAACTTCATTTCTAAAGCCCAAGTTCTTTCCTCTGTTGCTGCTTTTGAGAAAGCAAAGCCCCAAAAACAATCTCAACTGAGATTCAATAGCATTTTTATTTTATGTAGTTAAAAAATAGAGGGGAGAAAGAGAGAGAGGGAGAGAGAGAGAGAGAGAGAGAGAGAGAGAGAGAGAGAGAGAGAGAGAGAGAGAGAGAGATGCATGAAAGGAATGTATTAGGTATCCAAAGAGCACGTGAAGGGCCTAAACTGGATCTGGGAAGGACTGCTATTTCTCTCTGCATCAATACTTCCTCCTCTCAGCATGTGCAGGCGCCAGAAGGTGCGGGAAGGTAGGAAGCAGAGAAAGCGGGAGGACTGTGAGCATGCTGGAGGCATCAGGGAGTCTTTGAAATACATATTAATCTCTCCTTGCTCATTCCCACTGCCACTTCCTCATTCAATAACCTTGCAATCTCCACTCTTTTAACTCGCCCTCCCCAAGCCCTTCTTTCCCGCCCAGAGACTCAGATGCTCTCACTCCTCTGTCTGAGCCTCCCTTGCTGCGCGCTGCAGCCACCTTGCTGGCCCTTTCCTCCCTCCGCTCCTTGACTCACTGTGTCTGCTCTTCTGTCTCCTCCTCCTCCACCCCTCCCCCCCTTTTGCTTTCCCAAGCCCATCACCCTTGGAGCCCATCACCCTTGGAGTCTCAGTTTAGATGTCACTTTAAATATATATATTTGTTTTTATTGATTTCAGAAGGAAGGGAGAGGGAGAGAGAGAGACAGAAACATCAGTGAGGAGAGGAGAACCATGGATCCGCTGCCTCCTGCACGCCCCTCACTGAGGATCAAGCCCGCAACCCGGGCATGTGCTCTGACCGGGAATCGAACCCTGAACTGGTTCAGAAATCCGCGCTCAACCACTGAGCCACGTCGTCAGGGCTGGAGGACACTTTTTCAGTGATGCCTTTCCGGGCGGATTCCTGCCCACAGCGCCCCATCCCCCGCCCCCCGCCCCCCGCAGTCTCCCGCACCGCCCTCCACTCAGATTTCCCGGAATGGGCACCATCCGCGCTCCCCACCTCACCGATTGCAAATTGCACCGCTGGACCCTCACTTGAATGGAAGACTGACAATGAATGGGTGAATGAATGAATGGATGAATGGGTGCATGAATGAATAAATGAATGGAGGGGCTTGGATCGGGTCTTGTCATCGTCATCACCCCATCATCACACAGTCTCTAGTCCCTCTGGGACATGCCCACCCCTTTCCGGAGCGCCCTTTTGCGGGGGGGCGCGGGCCCGGAGGCTCGGGCAGGTCCCCCGCCAGGTGCGGAGGCCCCGCGCTCCGGGCTCACCTGCTCGGGGGGAGGAGGCGGCGGGAAGGGGGTGGGGAGCCAGGCGCCGGGCACGCCCCCCGCCGCCGCCGCCGGGCGCACTTCCTCCTCGGGCCGGGCGGGGCGGGGCGCGGCGGGAGACGCCCCCGGAGGCCGGCCGGGCGCCCCAATGGGATGCGGTGCCGGCGGCCGCTCGCCCAGTCCCGGCGCCGCGCGGAGCCGCGGAGGAGGCGGCGCGGCCGGGCAGGGCGGCGGGGCGCCGGGCGAGCGGAGGCCGAGCCTGCGGAGCTGGCGCCCGGCGGGGCCATGGGGGCCGGGGCCGCGGGGCACGGCCTCCTGGCGCTGCTGCTGGTGGCGGCCGCCCCGCTCCGGCTGCGCGCGGACCGGCCGGGTGAGTGAGCGCGATCGGCGGGCCGGGCCTGGAGGGGCGGGCGCGGGAGGACGCCGGGGTCCCCGCCTGCACCCCGCTGGCCGATGGCAGCTCCAGGGACTCTTTCCGATCGCGGCGCTCCCAGGTGCTCCCCGCGCCTCAACCCGGAGAACCAACTTGGCGCTTGTTCGCGCGCCCGCTCCCCGGCCCCGCGGGGCCCCCGGACTCCCCGATCCCCGGCCCCGGGAGGGGTGACACGGCGCGGGGTCGGGAGCGACGCCCCGGGCCGCCCCGGGGAGGAGCCGCCGCGGGGACGCTGCTCTCCGGCGTCCTTTGGACCGAGCTGCGCGCCCGGCGGCGGGGCGCCAGGCCCTCCCGGCGGCTGGAGCCCCGGCGGGTCTGTGTGTGGTTTGGGGGCAAAAGTCGGGAAATGTTGGCCCGATTGCGCCGCGCCGTCCCCGTGTGCTGCCTGCGCCCCAGATGGATTCGCAGGGTTTGGCTTCTTGTCAGTTCCCCGCCAGGCTGGCCTTTCTCAGCACCTGGTTCCTGGCTTCCAGCTGGACCTAAGGAACCCACAGCCGAATTCCCCCTTGCATTTCCACCAGGTCAAAGCAGCAACCCGTTTACCAGTCCAGGCAAATTTTTGTGAATTAGCAATTTATCGATAGATAGCAAGGAGCGACTTATTGGGAAGTTTTTAAGTTCTTGGTCCTCTCCCCCCACTTCTGCCCTGTGTAAGGGCGGTTATTGAATAGCACCGAATTCGTCCAGAATGTTTTGACAGCTTCCCCACCCCACTCCCCATGTTTTCAAATGAGAAAAGAATCAAAACTTAACCCAGGATTGCACCCCGTGCCTCCCACCCCACTGAACTGTGTATCCATCCATTCGCAGTCTGAAACATGGATACCCAAGATGTTGGTAGTGGTTACTAAGGTTGTCACATACCTTTTTTTTTTTTTTTCTTTTTAAGATTAAAGTTTAGATGAGATCTGTCTTGTCACGATAGCAGAATGCTAGACATATCGTGACATGTTAATTCCTATGTGGGATTTTGATCATGGGTGGTTTAAGCATGGAAAAATGTTTCTCAGGCTCCTCTTTGAAGACACACGTTTGACACTGCACATTTGTGAACCCGCCTAGCGATGTGTCCCTTCCTCAGCTGGCCCGCACTGTCACCCAGCTTTTCAAAGGCGGCTTCAGGCTTAGCGGGCCCTCCAGGCTGGGCTGCTAACGGGGCACTTTGTAGAGCCATTCTCTGCTGGCCAGTGTGATGGCTCAGCTTCAAGCCTGAGTCTGCTGCAGTAATTAGAGGAAGAAGATATTGCCATTTGATTTTCAGTGAAACAGCCTATATATGTAGGATGCCAACAGACTCAGTAAAGGTGTAGATGTTCATTGACAAAGGGGGTAAAACTTAGCCAAAACCGCTTTGGCTCAGTGGATAGAGCGGCAGCCTGGGACTGAAGGGTCCCAGGTTCAATTCCGGTCAAGGGCACATACCTTGGTTATGGGCACATCCCCAGTGGGGGTGTGTGCAGGGGGCAGCTGATCCATATCTCTCTCTCATTGATGTTTCTTACTCTCTATCTCTCTCCCTTCCTCTCTGTAAAAAATCAATAAAATATATATATATTTTTAAAAGTAAAAACTTAGATTGGGGCATTTACTCAAACAAATAAATCTGCCCTAGCTGGTTTGACTCAGTGGATAGAGCCTGGGCCTGCGGACTGAAGGGTCCCAGGTTCGATTCCCATCAAGGGCACATGCCTGAGTTGCGGGCTCGATCCCCAGTAGGGGACGTGCAGGAGGCAGCCAATCAATGATTCTCATCATTGATGCTTCAATTTCTCTCTCTTCTTTTCTCTCTGAAATCAATAATATATATATATATTTTAAATTTTAAAAAAATCTAAGAACTCAGGTTCTGATACCTCTTGAGTGAAGAGGCATTGCATTGCATTGCCAGTGAATTTTTTGCATATTTCTTTTCACTTGTGGTTTTTCTAATTAGGCCACAGTCACTTATTTTTCAAGTTCCCATAAACTGAAACATGCACACCCATTTTAGGTCTTGAGATATGTTGCTGGCTATGCAGCTGGATGGGGTCCTAAGTGACAGGAGTGCTCTCCGCGTTTAGAAGATCAAAGGGAAGGCTTAGCATAACTGTCTGTTTTTGGCCAGAAGACACCATTTATTACATTTTGCCGTCATTGTTCTCGGAGTCAGCTTAGTCTGGTGCTTCTTGCCTCCTCAACCTGCCAGCTTCCCCACTCTCAACACCACACTGTGAATCAGAATTTCCCATGGGTGGGGCCTGGGAATGGTGCTTTTAATAAGTCCCCGCAGGTAATTCTGATTCAAATCAGCTTTGAGATGGCAGAAACAACTTTATAATGTTAGGGTCACGGTAAAGTGCTACCATCTGTGTCAGAGACAGTTTCATACTGGAATATGAGAAAGTCTGTCCTTAAGTCATCACTCCTTTATATTTGGCTAGACACGGGGCAGCTGATGCCTGCTGTTTTTTTATTTTGTTTTTTGTTTTTTTGGTGAGTGACTTCTTTTAAAGTCAGGCACACGTTTATTCTGGCACCTTCTGTGTCATTGTGTGCACTTGCCCAGACTTCCCTTCATCTCCAAGGTCGGAGATCCTATCGGCGGTGTAGACTGTAAATTCCTGAGGGGAGCAGCCAGCATTGTCTTTACCTTCCCAGCATCTGACAGAGGTGCTCCATAGATGCTTGTTGGGTTGAGCTGAGCAATCTTGTTGTGTTTGGGAGATATTTTCAAATTACTTTCTAATTAGTGGAAACTGAGTAATGAGATGCCCACTGAGGTTCTTGATGAGGGCACGTCTGATGCTTACACTAATTAATGTTGTTTAGCAAGCTCTCTCGGCCTGCCTCTTTCCACAGGGGAGGATGCCTTGTAAGTGAAAGCACAGCAGAAAGAAGGAGGAGGCCAAGGAACAACATGTACCTCTGGCTCTAGGAGATGAGATTTGCAACACTCAAACATTGAATTGTACCAGATACTTCAGAAAAGACTTTATGTTAAAGGATTCATTAAACAAATCAAAGGATGTTGTTCAAGCCCGATTTGGACTCTGAATAGGGTCCCAAGCTATCAACTTCTCACTGCATTAAAGTGAACGCTTTAACCGCGTCGTAGTGACACAGATTTGAAAATCATATAGGAAAACCATAACATGGAAATGAGCAATGCATCTGACATTTATAAGGAATTGGGTTTTTACTTTTAAGATGCATGAGGAAGTTATATCAATTGCAGCATTTAGCAAAGGTTTTAATCATGTTAAGGCAGGAAAAAAAAAACTTTTTCAGGGAGATATTTTCTATAGAGTTTTGGACTCTCTGCTATGTGTATTCTAGCATGAAGTCAACTCTATACATAATAAAGTAGCCTATTGTTTTGCATTTTTGAGGGGATAATCCACTTAGACTTGCAGTTAGTACATAGTAAATGCCAACTATTTTACTTTTCTTTAAATATATTTTTTATTGATTTTTTTTTTTTTTTAGAGAGAGGAAGGGAAAGGGATAGAGAATTAGAATCATTGATGAGAGAGAAACATCAGCTGCCTCCTGCATAACCCCTACTGGGAATGTGCCCGAAACCAAGGTACATGCCCTTGACCTGAATCGAACCTGGGACCCTTCAGTCCACAGGCTGATACTCTATCCATTGAGCCAAACCAGTCAGGGCTATTTTACTTTTCATGGCTGTTTATTACTATTAATTGGATAAATATGGGAGGCCCTTTTTTTATGCCTCCCTCACTGCCTCTTGTAACCCGTTCTTCAGTATACTTACTCATACTTCCAGTCATACCAGCTTTCTTGCTGTTCCTCAAAGGCATCAGGCACCCTTCTACCTTAGAGCTGCTCGCTCTTGCCTAGAACCGTCTCACCCCAAATACCCAGACAGCTTTTCCTCCTCAGTCTTTGCTCAGGTGTTGCCTCCTTGGGCAACCCACCTGCCATCCCCAGAACTCCATATTCCCTTCCCTGCTTTCAGTTTTCTCTGGAGCCTTAATCCTTTTTCAACGAGCGTATCATTGATACTTCTGTTTCAGTTGTCTATATTTCCCTTATAAGAATACAAGGTCTGTGAAGAGCTGTGTAGTTTGAACAGTGGCCAGCACATGATGGTCACCCAACAGGGATGAGTGTTCAGTAGTGGAAACAGGCCTACAGGCTATTAAGCCACTTGCCTTGTCACTCAGGCAGTGCCTGGTAGAACTGGTATTGAAGTCCGGCTACGTTTTAAGTGCTGTAGAGCCAGAGGCGGCTCACTGTACTCCCTCCAGATGAGTGTCCAGTGGTGGATGGGCAGGTGCTCAGTGAGGATGGGGTGAGAAGGCAGTGAAAACACAGTTGCTGCTCTGTTGTTAAAGACTTAGGGTGACTCTAGATGACAATCAAAACCTGAAATCAAATATATCTCGTCCAACTGTTGTTTGTAAATAAAAAGTCTGAAAATAAGGACTTAAAATAGAGGAATTCATTCTGCTGTATTCAAAGTCTGACACTGAGGATGGAAGGAAAATATTGTCAAGCTTTCAGGTTGCTCCTCTTCCTAGATCCCCCCCCCCCCATTAGACTAGAAGTAATTTTGCGTGTTTGCAACTGAAAAGTCATGTTGATGTCATCTTCCAGATGTTCATCCTCGGCCTTGTATATATAACAAAATAGCTGTTTGCCTTGGGGGGAGGGGAAAAGGAGAGATTGAACTGATGCAGATGAGATGGTGGTTTCTAACCTGATGTGGAAATAAATTTTAACCATGAGCTCTAGTATGAATCTGGAACCAACGGCCAACCTTACCTTTCAGTGGGAGCTGAAGAAGTTTTATTTTGGAGGTGGGGGTGAGAGAGTCTAGAAGATCCACGAGACAGAGAAATAACGGAGGGTTTTTCTACTAGTAATTCCCCACCAGTACCTGGTACAGTGCCTGGTAGATAACAGGCTCCAGACAACTGTTTCCTGCATGA